TCCCTCCATTTGCGACCCCAACAGAGCAGCAGTTAGGGACATTTCGCGCTGCCGGCGGATCGCGCAAGACCCCCTGTTCCGCGGGTTACCGACCTCCAAAAACCCACCCCCCCTGGTGTTTTTCGACTTGTGATTTTTGGCAATGCCGGCGCTTCGCGAGTCCACCTAACTGCTGCTCACAATTCACTGCAGTGCCAACTCGATCCAGTTTCCTCAACCTTGGAATAGATAACTGCAAACTTGCTATCACCTTGCATTGCAGCTGCTAATTTCCCAGTGCAAGTTACAGTGTATACAAACGTTTTCCTCTCATGACTGTAAAAATTGCCTGTTACCATGCAATTTATGAGTATTTTGTCACAATTTTGTAGCTAAGTAATAACATATCTCAATATGACCATACTACGTAAGCCAAGTTTTAAATTTTAGCTAATTCATAATGGTCCCTTCTCAAAAAGGACTTGGATGCATGGGAGGCTACATGAAAATACAAAAGAAATCACACTTTTTCTTGATGGAATTTGTGGTTTTTTACTTCGTATTTCCATGTTAGCCTCACATTCAAGACAGTTTTGTAAAGGGTCCATTGAGGTTTTAGAATGTTGGGAATGGGGTTTCAGAATGAACTGGCAGCTGCCAGATCCCCAGCGGTTGCTTTGAAGTTAACCTCCAGCTACTTTTTCTTTTCTATAAAAAATTCTCATTAATATTTCAGATCACAGCCAGCTTACTAGTACTTCAGACTCATGACCAACTATCTCCAAAACATTCTGAAAGCCCTGAGTATGCCTAGTGTAAAATATGCATGCTATAAAAAAGTTTGGCTTTTGTTTGAGTGTCGAGGGTATCAAAGTTGAGAGTCAAAAAGCAATAAGGCATAACAAAATGAATGAATTTTGAACCAGATCTGCCTCCGATCTGTTTAATTTTTGGCTGGTACTTATATGGTCACCAGACGTACTCAGAATTACTAAGATTGTTTATGTGTTGCCATTTCATACATCATCGATACAACATCCTCTCTACCTATTTTAAATAGAATATCTACGAACTCATCTACTTTTTTTGCTTGGGTTATCATCACGTCAAAAACATCATCCATAGATCCTATATTCTTTATCTCAACGCGTTTCAAGCCAATATTGTCAGCTACCTTGCGATAGTCATTGGCTTTTATCTTTTGTATAGGGTTAAGCATTAGACATACTTCATGTGTGACGTCATGGGGCATATCTTCAACTTTGGGACCATATGTCTTATGAATCAGTTCTTTTTTCTCTGTTTTTGCCNCGCTTCAAACTCGGAGATATTTACCTCGAATGATCATAAATATTCCCCAATAATTCTGATTGTCGAATAGTTTATTTACTAAATTTGAATCGTAAAACCAAACTAGCCTTACCTCAATTTGACCTTTTTAGCTTCGTTGTTTGTTTAATCTCCAGAGTAGACGTCCGTAGGGTCTGTCACGCAACGTTCCCTCCCCTTTCCCTCTTCCGCAGTCCCTCGCTCGGCCGCTGCACTCTCCAAGCTTAGACTGTAAAGGCCGGTTTAGACGGTACGATTTTCGCCTACAACTATCGTATACAACACGCTTGCGCCATCCTACAACTCGAGTCGTAGCGTGTAAATCAATCCTACAACTCGCCTACGACAGACGCGAGCGTGTTGTATACGATAGTTGTAGGCGAAAATCGTACCGTCTAATGTACAATGACCAAAAAGTCGGTCCAATAGTCTTAAACCCATCAGTGCCTTCGGAACCAAAAACTCTCAGTCTCTCTCGTCACAGGTCTTCTGCTTACTTGAGCAGAACATTCCTTTCCAATTGTTATTATGGGCCAATTGAAATCGGCTTGTTTGTCGAGGAGCCAATTAAAAACCTCAATAGAATTTCGCGCCAAAATCAAATCAAATGATTGCTGCATGCTGTCAAATTTTGTGTTGGAACTATAGGTGACAAAGAAGATTTGTAAAAGAAAACTTTACAAGAAACAACGCACTGCTTTCTTTGTGGTTTCGAACCGCCAAGCAACGAAAGAGTGAATGTTTTTGGAAATATTTCATTTGACATTCCGGCCTTGGAAAACCACAGGCAAGCCCAAACAATGTATCCGTTGTGCTGTCTTATGCTGAAAAAATCGTAAAATTTTTAAATTAAAAAAACAACATACCTTGATCTTAACTTGTTATCAGTGGCTTTTAACTTCTTCTAACTATTAATATGGCCACCAGACGTACTCAGAATTACTAAGATTGTGTGTGTAGTGCCATGTCATACATCTTCAGTACAACATCACCTCTACCTATTTTAAATAGAATATCTACAAACTCATCTACTTTTTTTGTTTGGCTGATCATCACCTCAAAAACATCCTCCATAGGGTTTTCTTTTGCCAAATTCCTTATCTGATAGTGGGTCAAGCCAATTTCGTCAGCTACCTTGCAATAGTCATCAGCTTTTAGCCTTTGTATAGGGTTAAGCATTAGACATACTTTGTGCTTAACGTCATGGGGCATATCTTCAACTTTGGGACCATATGTCTTATGAATCAGTTCTTTTTTCTCTGTTTTTGCCCTTTCTTCTTCAGGATTCATAGGACGGCTTGTATGCCTTCCTGATACTAGTACTAACTTTGAGCCAATTGGTCCATCTTCAGACTCCTGAGAGTTGTCCGTTCTTCCTTCAATCCTTCCAGAGGTAGGCTGCTGTAGAGGAGGGTTGTCCCTTTCTTCTTCAATCCTTCCAGAAGGAGACTGTTCTAGAGTAGGGTTGTCCGTTCTTCCTTCAATCCTTCCAGAAGGAGGATGCTGTAGAGGAGGGTTGCCCCTTTCTTCTTCAATCCTTCCAGCAGGAGACTGTTCTAGAGTAGGAATGTCCATTCTTCCTTCAATCCTTCCAGATGGAGGATGCTGTAGAGGAGGGTTGTCCCTTTCTTCTTCAATCCTTCCAGAGGAAGGCTGGTCTGGAGGAGGGTTGTCCGTCCCTCTTGCAGGTTCAGCAATTTCTTCTAGTCCTGTTCCAAAACATCATTAATTTATTCATACTTGAATGTAAATTAACATGAAATTTACCAATTTATTAATTAATTCATTCATCCATCCGCACATCCATTCGTTAATTATTTTTTGATTGTACTGAAACTGTCCTTTCTTTCTTTGAATGAATGAATGTATGAATGGATGGATGAATGAATGGATGAATGACATTACATTTATGGAGGGAGTGAATAAACAGGGGCGGATCCAGGAATTTTAGAAGGGGAGTGATGATTACAAATTTACCAGGAATTCGAGGTAAAGGAGAGTGACTGTTACTAACAATAATACTGAGAAATTTGAGCAAAAGAGGGGTGACTAGTCACCCTTTTTACCACCCCTTGATCCCCCTGATAAATTTTAGTATTTCTGTTTTGAAGGAGGCAGAAATGGCTATAAAACGACAGGGAAGAGGGAGAAACAATGCAAAAATATACGGAGAAGGGAGAGTCGGCACAAAGATCAGAGAGAAGGGATAAATTCACTATTATTCAAATTACCGGAAAATTTGTTTGAAGAGTAAGAAATTGGGAAGGGAAAGAGATGGCATAAAAAATAAAAAGGGGAGTATTAAAATGACTGTTTCTCTCTGCTCTATTATAGACTAATAATTCGTACTAATTATTCATACAAATACAGTAAAAACCCGCGAGTAAGAACCTACATCTTTTAGAGTTAGCCTAAACAGGTTCTTGTTTAAATGGATAGTTTACATAATTTTAGGCTATCTAGGTTCTTAAATAGGTTTTTATTTCTGTGTAAAAACAAATAAAATCCAACTACAAGATAAAATGGTAATTAGCCATATTTTTCAATCAACCCACCCCTCCCCCATCAACAACACAGTAATGACAAGCTCCTATTTTTCCAAACATGATTCTTACCCTGCAGCTCTGCATCACTAAATGATGATTTTTGAAAATAACCTGTTTATCATTTTCTAGGCTAAATAGTCTCTTGTTTAAAGGGGTACGGTATAAATGACAAATTTGAGGCTAACAGGTTCTTAATTTTCAGGTTCTTACTCGCGCGTTTTTACTGTACCTAGTAATGTGATTTGATTTACTTATTTACTTTACCTTTTAAAAGGAAACAATACATTTTAATTTCTCCGTCCTCCAGCTTCTTGTAGCATCCAATCACATAACTTTCATTTGATGGACGAATCTCCAGTAGAACACCCTGCTCTTCCAGCTTGTTAATATCTTTTTTAAGCCCAAAAAACTTGAATAAACCCCCGTCTTTTCTGAATCCATAAAAGGATTTTTCCCCTTTGTAAATTTGACTTGAATTGTTGTGTAAGAGGAGGTTTGAGCTCCATTTTTTTAAAAAAGAAGACTTTTGGAATTCTTTTAATTCTGGACAAGGAATGACAAAATAGTTATCACTGTGATAATTTTCAAAAATCGTTTTACTGTTATCCTTATCTACCGAAAACTTTTTTCCTTGTTCCTTTTTATAACGGTGAAGTTTCACCTCAATTTTCGTACTGTTTTCATTCACTTCTCTTCTACATGAGTGGAACCAAGGCACAAAAATGAAATACTCCATTTCAATATTTGTTTCCACTTTAAGAATATTTCTGAGGCTTTCATCTTTCTTTGACAGATGTATAACACAACCCACCAGCTCTACTATTTTGTTGGTACTTCCATCTATCAGTCCAACTTTGGCTATTCCTTGGGTATCATCTGGTTGATTTCCAGCTATAGTTTCTGCATAGCTCAGCATATTGAGTGAATAAATCTTCAGATGGGTATGCAAATAAGAATACAAATAATTTTACATTGAGGTAATAACATTCTACAGAGTTTATTACAGATCAAAGGCAGATTATGGGATGGTTTGAGCCATGCAATTCAACCAGCCAGGCTTCCCCATTAGACCTCTTTACCTTGAATGTAATGTTTTATAATAAATTTCCCATCTCAGTCCAGGTAACATTCTCTAGAGTATCATTACTTTGTTTAATGGTTGCACATGAGAAGCCACATGAATATAATTTATAAATATATTCTTGAGAATATAATTCTTTGTTTAAGTTGTATCCATATATTCATGTGTTTTCTCATGCACAACCGTCAAACAAATGAACAATACTCTATATAGCAAATGACACAGTGTGAAATGGGAAAACATTTCACCCAAGGTAAACTGAGAGGTCTATT